CCCCCCTGAGTGGCCGGAGGAACGCGATAGAAAGTTCAACGAACAGAAAGAGCAGAACGATAATGAAGACCCTGGTGGGCGAAGTTCGGAGCAAGTGCGAAGATCCCGTCTATCTGCGACAGGCCGCGCGAGTGGCAGTCCTGTTGAGAGAAGCGCCGAACGACAGAAACGTTCGCGATGCATTGGGAGATGTCTTAGAGGTTTTCGCGAATCTGAAGAAACCCGGCGGTTCGGGATTTCTTGCGCCGCAGCGTGGATATTGGGTGTCAACAATTGGACGGCCCAGGCGCGAAACAGGATCGAGTCATCCGCGCATCAATGCGCCAAAATGCCCGGCTATGTCTTCGCAGGCGAGGGGGTGCCAGAGCAAACTGAGCGCCGGGGTGGGCGTGGATGCGCAGTGCGCCCCCCTGCTGTTCGTCAAGAGGCCCCGCGGGTCTCTGACGGCTGTTCATTCGGACATCCGAGGGGACTGGGAATTCCACGAGGACCCGACCTAATACCCAGTAGGCTATCAAAGGAAGGATTGGGGGGATCGGCTCCAGCCCCTGACTGGCTCCAGGCAGGCTGTGTGCGAGTGGCTCTGGGGGGAACTATTGCGGGCCGCGTGGGTGTCCTGGTTGGTCCTTGAACGACAACCGAAGCCCAATTGGAGGATCTGCGATACGTGAAGAAGATAACCGCGCATGGCACGTCGGACCAGCGTTGTTTTTGGCAAGCCCTGGCGAGCCTGATCCCACAAGAACGCAGGCTTTGAGGTGGCTGTCCGGCGCTGACCTGCGGGAGCGCGCACAGCCGGTCAGCGATGCGGTGATTTCGGTGCTGAACAGCATCGCGCGCGGGCGAGGCAACGGTATTCTGCGTCTGGTGTTTGATCCTGACATGTGGGAAGAGTACAGGGATTCTGTTCCTCCCGATGTTTTCTCGTTTTTAGGATGTATCGGCATTCGTCGAAGGTTGGATCATCTCCGCCGGATTCTGGGCGAGGATGGTGACGAAACTCGTAGTTTCCGTGATTTGCAGTCGCGGGGGCTGCGGCATTGCCGCAATAGTGGCTAATTATGGCGGATGGGTGCCTGTGCGCGCGTCAGTGAAACGAATGAAGAAGGAAGGGACTTCGTTGCCGAGGGCCCTCGTTCTTGCTGCCGTGGTTTCGTCGTTTAGACCGCGGGGCCTTCAGATTCTGTCCTGACCGAAGTGTTCGGACTTTCGTGGCGATGGGTGGCGTCCCTGTCGATGCCTGGCGATGGGTGGCGTCCCTGACTGTCTGATTCTGTCCTGCCGATGGGTGGCGTCCCTGCGCGAGGCGGAGAGTGAAACTCCTTGCTGGACGACGAGAGTGCGGTCCCGGGGCTCATCGGGGCATTGGTCGGGCAGGCCGTATCCGGTATTCGATGATGAAGTGTGTGCCCGATGTATGAGAGGTGGATGGGGTATCAACGAGGCACGTTGTTTTCTATGTTCGAAGAGTCGGGGCGCAAGGATGCTCTGGCTGGGCATTATGCCCGCTGTCTTATCGGTGCGGCGTCGCATGGCGATGATGCCCATGTCCGCCCCTGCGCGGCGAAACGGGCGCAGAAGCATGTCGTCGAGCAAGCCCGCTGCCCCGAGGGCCCCCAATGACTTGGGCGCCGCGCCCTCGTCTGGAGGCTTTGTTTCCAGTCGGGTTGAGGCAAATGGTTGGCCCTGGGTGGGCGCAGCCAGGCTATGAGTGGAAAGTTCAATGGCAGAGCCCTGCTGGACGTGGAAAAGAGTGACCTGATGAATGGACGCGCGCATGCGCGGGCGTCGAAGGAGCCCGGCTGCGCGGGGTTGCTCTGAGAAGGACGGAGCCAGGATAACATCCTGCGTGCTGAAGTGGCCACTCACCCAGCCGCGTTGGATAGACTGTCGATGGCCCCCTGGATTGGCGTGGCTTGGTCAGGGCCGAACCGCCTGAGCATGCGGACTCATTGCTATTGGGACTTCGCGGTGCTGTATAGAGATCTGAAAGGCTGTCATATGGCAACGGAATATACTTTCCAGGCTCGCGAACTGCAGGTCAAAGAAGCGGCGTCCCTGGACTCTGTCCTGGATGCTGCTGGAGTGCTCATATCCTTGAAGAGTGAGTGGTTGGGATTTGAGATTCAGTCGAGGGCTTGACCAGACGGCCCCGTTCAGAAGAAAGCAGGGACGAAAATTGACAATTGCTACCAAAGGGAGAGAGAGAGAGAGAGAGAGAGAAACCTGAATCGAAAGGAACGCGATCACTGGGGATGCTCTGTCTCTTTCCGTGGCGCCCGATGTGCCAGGGCCTTGACGGGCGTGTTCGCTATTTGGCACGCGTGGAAGTTCAGGAAATTGATCTTGCGAGTGCAAGCGTGCATCCAGTCCATCGCGCTCCCCGAGGATACGATCAGCTGATCCCCCGAACTATGCTTCCTCGTGAACCAGGACCTTCTGGGCCTGGACTACGGACCACTCGGCGTGTTTGATTGGGACCTGTGGGACCCAAGCAAGGCTGATGTTGCGGGGCTGGAGAGCGAATGGGAGACTTGGGTGCGCGCAACACATGCAAGCCGCAACGAGATTGCAAGACTGGCCCAAGCGAGCGGGGCTGGAGTCGAGCTCGCCAAGCTTGTGGCCGCCCTGGGCCGGCGCCCGAGTTTGAGAAAATCAGAAGGAGAGGGGCATTCGCATTGCCATTGGAGGCTAAAAGGGACGTCTTGGAACCCGCCCCGATGCGAGACATCGGCTGCTTCCTCGGTTTCGGGAAACTCTGGTTTGAGTCCTACAAGTGGCCTCTGGCCGAGTCAGGCAAGGTCCTTGCCGATGCGTCTCGCGGACAGCCTCCCGTAGTTGAAGACGAAGGACAGAAGTTCGCGTCTGTTGTTTTTTGTTTCAAAAGATGTTCTCCTGGGGGGCCGATATATCCAGGCGCGCTGCGGTGATAGTCGAAGAGTGGAGGAGATCACTCCCCTGGGACAGCAATCCATTGACGATCGGAGACAACGCCTGGCTCACTCGCACCGTGGGTGAGTTCGTGGCGGGGGTCGCCGAGAGATGCTGCGCCCCGCGAGAATGGTGCGACAAGGGTGTGCTCAGCGAGTCCGCCAGAGTGTTCTGCGATTTGCATGCCCATATGGTGAGGTATGCTAGTCGAGGGGGCTATTGCATTCATCGACTCGGGCAGCGCGATCCTGGCAAGGGCGCTGCCGTTGTCCTTGAAACCCTAGGATACACATTGGGTGCCCACCGATACGCGTAGGTCCATGGGTGCGATCACAAAGCTGCGGGATGCCATTGGGCCCCATGGCCGGTTGATGATTGCGATCGCAGTTTTGGTGCTCCCGAGCAGAGGAACATCGCTTTCGCTGGCTGACTTGGCAACGGTTCCACCCGTGGACGACCCTTCCTGGCATTGGGAGAAGGCGTCGGCGGCTAATGATTTGAGAACGATCGTCGGGGTCGAAGAAAGCAGCGCCGTCTCTGGCGGTGGCGCTTCTGGCGTCGGAGATGGCGTTAGGGCGCCGGCAAAATCAGAGGGCCCTGCCGGTATAGCGGCGGCGACAGTCGGCTTTGTCGACGTCGCTGAGACGACGGGCGCGGGAGAAGACGTCGTGATGTGGGGATGCGGATTGGGGGTCGGCAGCATCAGATTGTCCAATTGTCGCCAAGATCGTGGTTTGAGGATAGCTGACGCCGAGGGTGAGTGGAACCCTGGAAGAGGGGGGTAGCCCCAAGAAGCGTAGCTCACGCCGCCCCGATGACGATCGCGTGAAACAAAGGAATTTGACAGAAAGGGAGAACAGGGCGACCAGAAATCGCGGAGGCACGCAGGAGGAGGTGGCTCCTCTTCGACGCCCAGGCAGGGATCAACGTTTTGGTGGGCCAACGAGAGCTTTGGTCACTGGGGTGGTAGTCGCCCAAAGGGAAACCGTGATGAAGGAGGCCGTGATACGACCGGAGCGTGGACTTCGGAGAATGGTCCGTGCAATAGCTGGAACCGCGGCGGCGGCGGCTGGCAGGGGGCTCCAAATGAATGAGGTCGAAAGTACGCCACGGGAAAGACAACGCCAGTTGCGCGAACAGCTCCCGGTGCCCCGCTTTGCCAGTCGAATCAATTCAGGCTTCGTCGAGCAGCCGAAACCTAGCCGCTGCAGCAGGATTATACATTCATCGGGCGGGCTGCTCTGTAGCATGTTTTTGGGGCTGGCGCGCCCTGGAGGTGTGCTGGAGGCTGGCACCCAAAGGCTTTGGTGGCTCAGGGGCCCGCCGCGGCGGGAATCGTTGCTGTCGCCTCTCCTGGCTGTCTTTTCTGCGAGCCTGCGCGCGCGTGTCCGCGCGTCTGGCGGAAGTTTGCTGGAGTGAGGCGCGAAGCGTCTTGACGTGCAAAGGGTGTGCGCGCCTTCTTGTCAGCGCGCGTATCATTATCCGTTGCCGCGCCGAGCTGTGCGGCCACGTCGCACGAGCTCGTGACTGGGCCATCCGTCAACGAGATCCTAGAGAAAGGGGGGCCCTGAGGCAGGACACCAGATCGAGGACAGCTTTCGTATGCCAGAATCCCAGGAGAATCTGGCACACATCTTGCCGAACTTTCTGGGACGGCCCTCCTCCACTTGCTCCCCCCCTGGTCTCGCCGCCGAGCATCGGCACGGAGAGAGACTTTCGGAGGCACGCGCGGATCTCTTCCCATACGTGCCCGCTTCCTGAAGGCATCGCGATGGGAGGTTTTTGGTCGTGCTCGGTTTCTCGGGGCCATCGCCGGTCCCGGGGGCTGGTCCGGGGGAAAAGGGCTGGGACCTCGGAGATCCCGTATTGAAAAAAAACGAGATCTCGCACGTCGGGCTTGGATCTGCGCCGGGACCCCTCTCGTGGCGCGTCCACTGCCGCCGCTGGCGCGCTCCACGCGCCAGGGAGAGGGGACTTGCTCAACACCCGGGTGGCGCCTCTGGCGCCGATTGAAGGAATTAGCGCGGAACTCCGACAGTTCATGTTGTTGCATTTTTCCTTTCGCCCAGGTCTGGGAAACTGGTGCAGCTGTACTTGGACATGGGCTTCACCAGGGCCTCTCAGGAGCCCCGCGGCCGAGCCCTCGGTCGGAACCCCGTCGTTCAGATCCGGGCAAACCTTTGAACGTTTCTGAGCGATTTCGGAGAGTGCTTGAAAGTTTTAGCATGTTTTTTGGATGCAAGAGAATATCGTCGCCCCCTTCGGAGTTCAGCGCCGAGATCTCCTACGGCTCCCGCTGGCCGCGGGGGCCCGCAGACCCGGACCTCCCCGCGCCGTGACGCGAGTCGAAGCCGCAGGTTTTCCGGCCAATCTCGGCCTCCGCGGGCCCGGACCGAGCCCCGTCAGGGTTTGTGAGAAGATGTCGAGATCCCAGGCCCGCGTCGCGGGAAAGGTGTGCGGCCAGAGGAGGGGGTAACCAGGAAGGTGGATGTGCACATGACGCGGCTGGCCTGGGCGAGAGTTGGGATGGCATGTGGCTGCAAGTCTTTGCTCTTTGTCCTGGTACACTACGGCCAGGCACGGTGGTCCTCCGCATGTGTACCTAAGAAGCGGCCTCCGCATGCTCAGCAGGTGTGTCCATCTTTTTGTGCTTCCAGTTTCCCGATTTGTAGTCGTAGTGCAGCGCTAGTAGGAAGAGAACGGGCGAGGGCGCGGTCAGATTTGGACCGCTTGCTACTATCGCACAAGATCGCAAGTCGAGCACAGTCACGTGATCATTAGCTCTCCTGTCCGACGACCATGCCAGGTCGATGAAGCAAGGGGGGCAGAAAGCGGGTGGGGTGTGCTGCTTCGCAGCCCCGCTTGTCCTGGCATACAGAAAGTGGAAAACCCACATAAGGCTTAGACTAGAGCCTAGAGAGTGTGGGAAGGTTCGGAGCGGCGCATGGACTCTAGTCTTGACGCTTCGTGTATCCCACCAGTCCCTCCAGTAGCGATGCCCAGGCGAGTTGTCTTGCGACCCGCATGGATGCATCCTGAAGCCAAATTGGAAAGAGGGGGGGAGGGGGAGGAGGAGGAGGAGGAGGAGGAGGAGGAGGAGGAGGAGGAGGGGGATGTAGAAGAGGAAGAGGAGGAGCAGGAGGAGGAGGAGGAGGAGGAGGAGAAGGAGGAGGAGGAGGAGGAGGAGGAGGAGGAGGAGGAGGATGAATGGAATGGAATGGAATGGAATGGAATGGAATTGAATGGAATGGAGTGCCCAAAAGCGGAAAGTGCACAGCACTAAGGTTTGATCAAATCAGAGTCACTAGCCAGTCATTCTGGCTTCCTTGGATCTAATATGTTCCAGCAGGGCCGCCATACGTAGCTCGTAAGTGGGAACGCCCCTGGAGGCAAACCGACAGGCACCACAGGAACGTCAGGGGTGGACTAAGAGGAGGGAGCCGACATCACCGATGGGGGCGACAAGGGGGAGGCCAAAACGCCGACCCAAGAACGCCCTGACTTTGCGGTTGGGCGGCTTCCCTTGGAAGTAACGTCTAATAACCTCCTGACCTTACTGGGCTTACCGTCGGGCCTGAAACAGGGGTTCGCCAGCTTTACGGCACGGCCCTGGGACCAGGCACCACAACGCAAACAAATCCCGCATCGCTTCTCAGTGACCTTCGCTCGACCAACCTCGGACGGAGCCGAATTCTCGAGCTGCAGCCCAGCCGTCACGACGAGGTGGCCCACGGGGTTCCTGAGAAGCCTCCTGATGCCTATAGGGACGCCAGTGGACCCATTCACACCTAGACTCGACTGATCATCCCCACCCACTTGTAAGCACCTCCTGCACTGGTGGCCTAGGGTGGGGTGACTGTGCCAGCCGTGAACTGCTGCTGCATCTGAGACACGTTCCTGCGGCGCGGGGCAGCACGCGTCCACCTGAAAGAAACCTCACACAATGGCAGAACACACGCAGCAATCTTGACAAACTGATAAGCTCTCTCTTCAGCCAACCGCGCTCAATCTCCTGAGTAGATCTATGAGCTTTAGCGTGTCGAATTCGATCAATGAATCTCGTTCCTTCTCGCGACTGGGCAAGCAACCGAACCCCAGCGAATTTGCTTGACGCAGCCATTTGTTTTTCCAACACTACTCTGTGAAACACGGCTGGCAGCAGTGCAGTCAGCGGCTAGGGTATTTTTTTGATTCGCCACTTGTCCGCACGGCGCTATGCCAACATGCTCTGCCATGGCAGGCGTTTGCGGGAAGGAGACATTCACCACTTTCCGCATGATCGCAACAGGCTCGGGCTGAGCCTCACTTGCAGGCATTCCTCCTATCGCCCATGCTGCTCTCTGGAGCGCGCGAATGGGAGGCTTGGAACTAGAACCATCAGAGACCAGTCGCAGTGTGTCTTCCGAGGACAAGTCTGCAAGCTTTTCGGGCTCCAGATCCAGCGGGCTGCCAGAGACATCAAGGATCTCAACCTCAGACGGCACCGACGGTTTTGACAGCTCGCTGTCGGGGTAATCAAAAATGCCGCGGGTGAAGATCTCGAGGTCTGGCTCAGCACGAGCCGCCTCCAAAAGCTCTCTTGGGACTTCAGCCTCGTCTCTTGCTGAGGCTACGTCCGCTCGCGTGCATGTGTAGAGCCTGTGGTGGAGTGTGTCGCCCTGACCACAAGAACACCTCCCGTCCGTCGCGTACCCCGCCCGACGACCTCGTTCGTTGGTCCACTCCCCTTTGCACCCACAGCGCTCCGAATCCAACACTTCGCTTGTTTGCTCAACCCCCGAGCCTTTGGCCCCAGACGCTAATCAGATCCAAGGTGGCCCTGTGCCCTTTGGGGTAATCTAAACTACTGGCGAGGGTCATCTCATGCGCTCGCTAGATAACTATTTCGAGCTGGTCAGCCAACAGGGCAGGTGGGGTCTGGTCCACTGGGACCTGTATTCCGTTGTGTCATACCATTCTAGAGGCCCCCTCGCCTCCCAACCCGCCCTCGGGAGCACTAGCACCGCACGAACAAGGTACCCTCTCGAGGCGCTCCACAGGCCAGCCTCCAGAGGCCGAGCCAGGTCCCAAAGGCGCAACAACTCAGCACGAATGACTAGTGCTCTCGTGGGCTGGGCTGTGGCAAACCAACTCATTCGGCACCATTGCAATGCTGGGGCAACCGCTGTTTTGAATCTTTGGTCTCCCATCAGAACTAGCTTCGCCGACAGAGAACCCCCTCCGTGGACAGGCGAAAAGGCGCAGCTATGTAGCCTCTGGTGGGCCTTCCATTCACCGAGGCTCACACCCGTGACCTCGGCTCCAAAACTGCTGGTCGGCGAAACTCCAGCTCCAAACACCTTGACAAACGGGGCCTTCTTCTCTCCTCCTCGAAAAGCTCGTCTAAAACGCTTTTTTTTCTTCAGTCTAAAGCGTGCTGCAGCCAACCTACTCTTCTGCTTGGGCGTGGCTCCACCGGCGGATCTCTGTAGACCTGCCGTCTCGTCCACCCCCGGGTGCGTGACGCTGTCCTTGAGCACCGACGTGCTGAGGCCAAGCGCCTGGCAGATGGATGTGCCCAGCTCCTTCGACGAGGCTATCAGCGCGACCTTGTCAACGTTCAACGATGCGTTGATGGAGTGAGACACCTCGCGGCACTCAATCATAGGCTGAACTGCAACTCCCTTTGCGATGCCTAAAGAGGAGGACGCGTTGCCTATTGCCGTGCCATCGATGTAGTTCACCATGTCAATTGTGGGACATCCACTGAGGATGTTATCCACCTCGAACACTGAGTGAATATTTATCGCAAAGTCCGCTGCTCAGCATACAGTGGGAATAGTGCATGATGGCGTCCACACCTGATAGTGCGCGGAGATCCCCACGTATTGAAGACAAGCTTCATCCAGCATGACGGCATCCCAACTCTCAAACACTTGTGACGTAGTTGAATCAAGGGTGTCGGCTCGTAGAGCTTAGACCAGTCAATCACCCATAACGCAGAATGGAGGCATGCCGCGTGGTTAGCTTCTGCTCGAACCGCCTGCAGCCACGCACAGTCGATTGCCGATCTCCGTTTGGAAGCACCCCAGAATTGACGATCCAGTCTGTCGATCACACCCGAAATCATACTTCTCCTGGCTCGCTGCCAGATCCTGTGCACCCCTGCATATAGAATGATCAATCTGTTTCCCCCAGCGGGCTTACCTAACATCGACATCTGAATCCAGCATAGCTGCTTCGGCAACATCCCGATGGCCTCAGAGATCTGCCAGATGGCACTCAGAACCTCAAGACCCGCGTCTCCCAACAGCATAACATGGCGCGGATGATAATGGTCAAGCGACGAGGCTGTACCTTTGGGGAAGGTCATCGCAATCTGTCGGATCTAGCGCCAGGACTTGCTTTTTTTTTATCCAGCTCCTGATGCAATCGATCTCGCTGGATCTTGGCCTTGTTCACGTCTTGGGCAACTCTGCGGTAGGCGATCTCAGGTGTACGCAGCGCCTTTTGCATATCCTTGATCTCACGATTTGTTTCAATTGTTGCCTGTCTGATGTGGTCGTTCTCACCCCCTGGCGGCAAGCTCTTGAGCACATTCCCATACGAACATAATTGACTGGACAGCTTCTCGCGCTTTGTCTTGTTATCATCATCTTGTGCAATCGGTTCCTTGATCGCGCCACCCTGCTGCGGAGACGAGCTTCACGGAGGCGGCTTGTCGGAAGAAGAGTTCCCTGATGTAGCCGAGTTGCTCGCACCGCTCGAAGCCGTGAGGGTCCGCAGCATCTTCTCCAACTCCGCCAGCTTCTTGGCCGTCGCATCATTCGCAGCGGCCTTGCCCTTCTGCGGTGGGGCCTCGCCACTGATGATCGCATTGTGGTGATCCCAGGCAAGCTTCCTGATCCGCATCGGGGCCTCATTCCCGCACTAGCCTCGGCCCGCGGAGCACCGCGGGGTCGGGCGGGGGTCCAGGCGCCATGGCGGCAGCGCCTTCCTCGTTGGTGCTTCTTCGTGCCTCCCAGAGGGGGCAGGAGCCTGCGAAGGCCACAAGGCTCGCTGCAGCGCCGCCGTTCTGAATCCAGCTGCAGCAAGCGCAAAACCTGCGCCAGAACGGCTGAGGAGGAGGAGGAGGAGGAGGAGGA